CAAAAAACCAAAAAAAAAAAAAAAGAACCAAAAAAAAAAAAAAACCAAAAAAACCCAAAAATATATAATAATAATAACAGTGAAAAACAACAATCAAACTTAGAAATAAGCTTAGGAAGTAAGAAATTTATGCCCTGAGAACTATAAACGGCTGCTAAAAGTAAAGAAGCTATATAAACAGAAGATCATTCTGCACTTGTCAGGAGACAAATTTCACAAAGTTAATTAAGATGGCGCCTGCTCAAGGTGCCTGGCAGAGGCTGTGCAGTCTCGCTCCAAATGCGAGCGATCTACCTTGCAAAAATCAGAGCAAGCATCCTAAAATTCACAGGGAAGCTCCAAGGGCCCAAAGCAGCTGGAGTAATGACAGAGGAGAACAAGAATAATGCCAGAGTTTCAAAACCCACCACACAGCTGCGGCAATGGAGACAGAATGGCTTTCACAGGAAGGCATATATACAGACCAGTGAAATTCTGAGGAGAATTCGCAAGTGAACCCTCATGTATATGATCAAAAGTTGTTTTTGTTTCTTTTTTTTAGAGTATGTGCACTACCAATATGTATGTGCCCGCCAAGGCCAGAAAAGTTTGTCAGATCCCCTGGACCTAAGGATAGTTATGAGTCACCATGTGAGTGCTGGGTACCCAACTCAGGCTCTCTGCAAAAGCACCACGAGCTCTTAACTGCCGAGCCACCTCTCCGTTCCTATTTTCCTGGAAAGATTTTTATTTATTATGTACATTGGGGTTTTGCCTTCATGTATATCTGTGTGAAGATGCCAGATCATCCCGACAGTTGTGAACTGCCACATGGATGCTGGGAATTGAACCCTGGTCCTTTGGAAGAGTAGTCAGTGCTCTTAACCGCTGAGCCGTCTCTCCAATTTTTTTTTATTTAACATTGTGTGTGTGTGTGTGTGTGTGTGTGTGTGTGTGTGTACAAAGTGCAGCACATACTCACTTGGAGGTCAGAGGACAACTTTTAGAAGTCATTTCTTTCTTTCCACCACATGAATTCCAGGTGTTGAATTTAGGCTTCTCGGTCTCATTGGCAAGGGACCTTATCCACTGAGCCATCTCATCAGCCCCGCGATCAAGAGATTATGAGAAAATGAAGTTGAACCTTGATATCTATATAAAACCTAATTCAAAATGGGCCAAAGACAAATATAGAAACTAAAAACATGGAGTACTTTGAAGACACTATAGAGGAAAGAACTAATACATTGAATTTGGCAATTACTTCCTAAATAACAATGTCCAAAACAGGTATTGAAAGAAAAACATAAATTGGGTTATATCAAAATTTGAAACTTTTGAGAATCAAAGAACTTTTTCAACAGAGTGAAAATGTAGCCCACAGAATGGAAGAAGGTATTTATTCATTATTATTTGTTACTCAATCACACCTCTTTGGCTTTACATGTGGTCTGCCAATCAGTGCAAAGACTTTTAAAACAAAGAGAGTTGAGTCATAAGGTGGCTGACATAAGCACAGAAGAGCCCCAAGTTTCAAATCCACTCCTCACAGGACATAGCTGAGGTGGGTTTATAGTGTAAACCAGGGTGGTCTGAGTTCAGAAGAACTGGAGGCGAGAATGAAAAAAAAAAAAAAATCTGTGATCTGTGCGCTTGTAACCAAATTTAAGGGCTCTTCATAGGACAAGTGTTAGGAAAATGGCCTTGTTAGCGTGCTTTGCGGATGGAGTTGAAATGCTCAGAAGGTCACTCTTGGGCACTTGCACAATCCCAAGTGAAGGGTCAAGGGTTTCAACTGGCTTGTATTACCAAGTTCCTGAAAAGCAGTTAAGTGGTGGCAGCTATGGCAAAGCTATCAGGAGTCTGCGGCTCAGCTAGGGGACTTCCGACACTGGTCATCCAGACAGGCGAAGCTAGAAATGCAAGGCTGGGTGTCCTGGCATCCCTTAAAGGCACGCTGGACTTCGCAGGCTCCTCGGAGTCCAGCCTCACAAGCCTGGCCCGCTTTACACTGCTATAGTGAGTGACTTCTGGGGGGACCACCCGTGCTTCTGACCAACCAGATTACCAACTGGAGCTTCCCAAAGATTTAACTGGCTACAACATCTCACAAGCTGGGGAGAATATGTGACTTAAAACTTACTGACTTGAAGCCAGGCGGTGGTGGTGCACGCCTTTAATCCCAGCACTTGGGAGGCAGAGGTAGGCGGATCTCTGTGAGTTCGAGGCCAGCCTGGGCTACCAAGTGAGTCCCAGGAAAGGCGCAAAGCTACACAGAGAAACCCTGTCTCGAAAAATCAAAAAGAAAAATAAAAAACAAAAAAACAAAAAACTTACTGACTTGTAAAGGATGCGGTTCCGGAAACGTTAGACTGCTGGGCGGGGCACAGGAAGAGGGAGCATGTGGAGCTTTTCCTGGTCCTTGCAGGCCAACCAACCTCCCAGGCCTCTGTGTGTTCCCAGCCTGGAAACTCTCTGTCATCCAGCATTCTAGACTCTAGAGTTTTTATCCAACTCAGTCTCGAGTGCTCCTCCCTAGAATAAAGGGCAGGTGGAACAGGTAGTCCCCAATTTCCAGTAATTGCTCTTTTCAGTAAAGCTAATTGCGCGCACACACACACACACACACACACACACACACACACACACACACATACACACACTGTCTAGGGGGCCTTAACCTATTACCACATTAGTATAAGCTCAGGTCTTTGGGGGAGGAACTGTCTTAGAGTTTCTATTGCTCTGAAGGGGACACCACGACCACGCCACTCTTATAAAGGAAAACATTTAATTGAGGTGATGGCTTGCAGCAGTTCAGAGGTTCAGTCCATTATGATCATGGTGGGGAGCATGGTCGTGTCCAGGCAGACATGGGGCTGGGTGCATCTTGATCAGAAAGCAACAGGAGCAAAGCTTAAGCAAAAGAGACCTCAAAGCCCACCGCCACAGTGACACACTTCCTTCCAACAAGGCCATGCCTACTCCAACAAAGCCACACCTCCTAATAGTGTTGTGGCCGCATCTCGAGACATTCCCCCCACCCCTGAGCAAGACCACCACAGAGCCGATATCCGATGCAAAACACACAGGGGGTCATTGATGACAAGCAAGCCAGGGCTTGGTCCGTGTCCAACACTCGACACAGTGGGTGGAGAAGGACGGCCCTGAGCTCCCAGGGTGAGGGGTTTTTCAAGGGAAAAACTGCAAGCAGGGTGGTACAAGCCTTGGTGTCATATGATTGGGTGAGGGTGTGTCACCTTTGAATTTACTGGTTGGGGGTTATAGTTATCATTTTTGGGCAGGCTTGGACAAGTCCCAGGCTCTGTCCTTGAGCCGCCATGGGGGCTGGCTGACCTGGCATGTTCACACTGACCCATGCACATAGCTCTAAGTTGGTGAGGGGTCCCAGACAGTAAACAACTGGCTGAACCTTGAGCAGTCAGAGTACGCGCAGAAAGGGAGCTACTACAAGGACTAAGTCTTTCGTTCCTGGCCCTCCCAGAAACTGCTTGCTTAAGTCTCAGGAAACTGAAATTGAGGCCTGATCTCTGAGAGAAGACTGACGGCCTGTTATGGCGTCTGCTTGGTCTTTCAATAGCGCCACTCCCTAGGAGTTTATGGGGGCCAATTACGTCCAAACCACCACAGACTCTTTAAGAACAACAAGAAGATATTTCTGTCATTCAGATCATTCCAGAGAGTTTTGGAGCTCTGAGCTAGGAACTGGGACAAAGGCCAAATAATGTATAAGTAAAATTTGTATTATGTTACTGATACATAGACTAGTCAAAACAAACAAACAAACAAACAAACAAACAAACAAACAAACAAACAGACTAGAGAGTTAGGATGGCAGTTGCTAAGGGGCTGGGAGGAAGGGCAATGGGAAGCTTTCAATGGGGCTGTTTCAGTTTGGGAAGATGAGTTGGATCATGTGACTGTTTATTATTGTGCAATAAAAACCAGTGCTTGGTGTAATGGAACTGGTCCACCTGCTCAAAATGGTTAGAATACCTTTCCCCCCGCTTGATGTTGGAGATGGAATTCAGGGCCTCCTGCATCTGCTATTGAGCTAAGCCCTCACCCAAAATATTAAAAATTGAAACTGCCAGGGGAAAAATATTCTTTTCCAGCTGAAAACCTTTCTAGGTAAGTTGAGGATTTGTGGGGGTTTTTGTTGTTTGTTTTGTTTTTTCGAGACAAGATTTCTCTATGTAGCCCTGGCTGTCCTGGAACTCACTCTGTAGACCAGGCTTGCCTTGAACTTACAGAGATCTGCCTGCCTCTGCCTCTGAAGTGCTGGGATTATAGGCGTGCACCCCGCCACTAGGCCGGCTCTTTCTGTAGGCTCTTATTACTGAAATGATTCAGAAATGGACTCAGAAGGAAGCTTGAGGACGTTATTAGTTTTAGAGGGTTGTTTGTTTGTTTGTTTTAAAGAACAGCAAAGTGCACATCTCAGAGTGGGGAATAGGGAGGTGGGGAAGGGGAGGAGAGAAAAGGTACCCTGTCTTCTGCAATGGAGGCTGACTAGCGGTAGGGTCAAGGTAGAGCGTCAGAGGATGAGTGAGAAGACCCAGAGCACCAGAGAAAGCATGCTCAGGCTTTGGGTTGACATCCGGATGAAAGAGACAGAAAAGGCAGGAAAGGGGGAAGTTGGTTCCTCAGAAGCAGACAAACGGTATGGCAGGCACAGTGCTGCCGGATGGACTCCAGGCTTCACTGAGGCGGGCTGCCACCAACATGGTTTCCTTAAAGGGATAATTAATCTTCCCTCACCTCAGCATGTTTTCAGATGAGTAGCGGGCAGGGTGAGTAACTCCTGGTCACCTGCTTGACAAGGCCAGCCGACTCACTCTTAAAAGGACAGGGTAGTATGTAATTTAGGATATCAGGTCTCTACCCAATAGAGGTAGAGTTCAGATTCCAGGTTTTTGCTTGTTTGTTTTGAGAGAGGGTTTCTCCATGTATGTAGCCCTAGCCATCCTGGAACTCACAGAGATCCATCGCCTCTGCCTCTAAGCGCTGGGAATTAAAGGCATGCGCCACCACCGCCCGGCAGATTCCAGGTTTTTGACCTTTTTACCTTTGCCTCCATGGGCCTCCACTAAGCGCATCTACCTCCACTTTCTCCCTACCCCATATTTCAATTGAAAAGGGAGTCTTATCCAGAAAAGGGCAGGTAGAAGCCAAAGCCTCAAAGCTCTAGACTGCCGTAGCATCCCTGCCCAGAGGACCGCAGCCCCTGCCTGGCCTTCACACTTCCGACCTTTGTTTCCTGGGGTTTTATGAAATGTCCTACGGTGCTCTTCCCATCCTTTCCCTCTTATCGCCAAGTGGGAAACTTGCCAAAGGGCCCAGACCTGATTGACAGGAACAGGGTTTTGGGCATAACAGTTGCCTGCCATTGTGTACATGACCTAACAGGATTTTACTTCCCAAAAGAAATCAAGATGATGAATTAGTGAGCCTTGGAGGGTTCAAGTCACTGGAGGTGTCCATGCAAACTAAAGGGAACAAGAAACAGCTTATTCTGATCCAAATATGAGTGACCATGGCCCAAGGACACAGACTCAGGTCGCCCTGAACAAGGTGTTCCACTGTGAAGGCTTTATAGAAGCTTTTATAGTCACAGAACAAGACAGTCATAAATCGATGTATTTACGAGTCATTGATGGGGGGACATCAGGTCAGTTGGTTACAGCAAAACCTGGGCACTTCAGATGTCATCTGGTGACATTCTTAGCTTTGGGGTTGATAGAAAGTAATGATATACTAAGCCAACACATTCCAAGGTATTACTATAAGTCAAAAGGATGTTTGCTCAGATACACAGGGTGCTGATAAACGGGTATTAAGGGGGGGTCTTTATAGACCAGGATAATTTTGGCTCTTAAGGGAACTTAGTTTACAGAGGAAAACATGATCATGCCTGACATGTTTTCTCTATGGTTATAGAAGGACTATGCCTTCCCAGTGAGAGATCATTCTGCAACTTAGAGATTAATAAAGGGAAAAGCTCTTTAATCGTGTGTCCCCGGTTCTGGCTAATGTACAAAAGGGAGCCAGCCTCGAACAGATAATTTTACTAACTTTGTATCTTAACTATAGGCTTATACATTTCATATATGTCATCATCCTTAAAGCTCTTTTAGGTCCTGGCCCCAGGCTACACATTGAACAATTTAAACAAAAACAGGAGACTGCAAGTCTGGCCACGAAGGCAGATGGGAGATTTACACAGCAAAGATATTGTCAGAGTTCTTTGTAAGTGCACCAGTGTTGATCTTTTCCAGTCATTGTTACTGGGGTCATCTTGCCCACCTGGCTGAAGCGTGAGATTCTTTCCTTTCTTTCGAGACAGGGTTTCTCTGTATCTGTCCTTGAACTAGCTCTGTAGACCAGGCTGGCCTCGAACTCAGAGATCCTACTGGCTGAATTGTGCAGTTTCGTAAGAAGAGACCCTGGGGTTTAATAGCACACCGTGTCTTAATGATGGCTATTGCTCTGTGCTGCCTCCTTCAGCTGCCCCTAAGAGACGAGGGGCATGTTCTCGGATGGAGAAATGGGTTCTTACCACCTGATGGCTGGGTGTCAGTCAGGGTTGTCTCTTTTGTTATGGGAATGAAGCATAAAGGCTGATCAGTCCTGGTGAACAAACATTTAGAGAAGCCTTAATCTCTAAGAGGCCTGGTTAGTATATTACCTGTCTTCCAGGTATTGTACACCGTCTTTAGTGTAGCCCTTTACCCTATAACGAGACCCACAACTGCTGTGAGTCTCAGATTCCTGTATAAACTGGAGATAATACTGGCCGAGGCAAAAGACGTGGAGGAGAATTCAATGGGAGGCTATGTAAAGAGCAGGTAGCTGGCTAGCGATTCTTAGATAGGAAATGCCGAAGAAAGAGACGGGGGATGTATCTCAGCAGTACTTACACTGTATGCACAAGGTCCTGGGTTTAATCCGCTGCACTGAAATGCTAAAGGAAGATCTGTGCTCATCCTATCGCCCCCCATCCTTCTGATCTAGATGAGTCTGGGTGGGAGGACAAGGCCTCAGTACTAGGCACAGTAGATGCAGACAGACAGCTTTTCTGAGAAGCTGAAGTTTGAGTTGATTCTTTTTTTTTAATTTTTTATTTTTTATGTGCCTTGGTGTTTTGCCACGGGCGTCAGGTCTTCTGGTACTGGAGTTATAGACAGTTAGTTGGGAGCTGCAATATGGGTTCTGGGTATTGAACCCAGGTCCTCTGGAAGAGCAGTCAGTGCTCTTAACCACTGAGCCATCTCTCCAGCTCCTTGAGCTGATTCTTAAGGGAAAACAATTGTTTTTAAATTGTGTGTGTTTGTGTGTGTGCACGAATGCGAACGCAGGTGCTTGTGGGGGTCCAGAAGAGGGGTCAGATTCCCTGGAGCTAGTCACAGGTGGTTGTGAGCTTCCTGATGTGGGTACAGGGAACCCAACTCAGGTCCTCTGCAAGAACAGCAAGCGCTCTTAACTGCCGAACTGGAGCTGATTCTTACTGAGCAAAGTGACCAAGAGCTGGATCAGAAGGAAGGCCTAGCCATCC